TCATGTTTATTTCCATTTAGAAAACAAACTTTGCAATAATTTATTTTTAGAAATTAATAAACATGGTGAGTTGTAACAATAAATCATAAGCGACTCTCCATAATCAGTAACCATCTATGATCTCAATAATTTATTTTTAGTACAACAGTAAGTGTGATGTAAACACACATTACGCGTCTAAGCATGGTTAACATTTGAAAATCGGTCACGTGCATTATTGTAATTATTTATATTGATTTTATAATAAACGTTGAACGATACTATAAAAGTTAGGTTAAGCCACCCGCAGATAAAAAAAAAAAAATAGTATATCGTTCCTCTCTTCAATATGTAACGAAAAAAAGTGTCTAATCCCAATAATCCCGTAGGTTTATTAGTAGCTTAAATACTAAATGCCTCGTTCCAAATTAATTGATAAGTGTGTTGTGTGCCAACAAGTCAAAACTAACGAAAGAATTCGGAGAATTTCTTCAAATGCACTTGATAAAGCAAAAAAAAGTAATATTTATCAAACCCTTTGTCCTCAGTTGTCTCTTGATGATATAATTTGTAATTCTTGTTACTGCAAGGTTGTTGAACATGATACATACCAAAAATATAGAAAAGCTTCTCGTACAAATGTTACTAAGTACGATAAAACTTTTTCAGCACCAAAATCAAAGAAAGCATGCGTAACTATGGACGTGGATACCTACCAAATGCTTGTACAGAAGATAAATTCGGTAGAACAACTTGAATCGGAGTTAAATGAATTGAAAACTCAATTAAAAAATCAACAAAATATGTTAGGTAAGAGCATATGCATTCAATCAATAATTAGAATATAGGGTCGGGTAAAATATTATGAGATTGTGATATTTATTAAAACTTTATTTATTTTATTAGATATTACGAATCTTTCTGATCAATTTGATCAAATGGTTCAGCGGATGACTACGGTACTATATAATCTTCAACATAAAGAGAATCGACCTTTTATAGCTGATTCAGATGAATTTATTCAAGTAGTTGAAGACCATGACCATTTCTTGTGTGGATTTTTTAATGTTTTATTTCAATCAACAAATCCTACGAGTAAAAATTTTCAAACACAACAGCAGCTTAAAAAAAAGATTGTTATACTTTGCTATCAATTAGCTAGTTTAAGAAATAAACATGTATCTGGAGTGAAGGAAGCTACAGGATTGTTTTTAGTAGGGGCGGGTACATCAACAGTAGGTATTAATGCACTTAGCAATGCAGGACTTACCGTTAATTATCAAACGATTTGGAGGTCATTTTCAAAAACATTAATTCAACATGATGAAAATCTTAAATTATATTTTTGCAAAAATGTAATTATATTTTATAATTTTATAAAATAAATACTAGCAAAATCTTATATATTAATTAATTTTTTTTTATTTTTTTTAGCAAAATAATGTTATAGTATTAAATGTTGATGACTATCATGATTCACATGGTCCGCGGGCACCTAATACAACATCTTCTAATCAAATGGCACATATGGCAACTATTTTGGTTAATACTATGACAGCTTCTGCTATTCCTTTTTTTTCTGTTGATAATTTTGGTATACATGAATCTGGAATGATGGATTCTTCACGATTAAAATATATTTTACAAGTTGAAATAAAAAATCTTGGATTTAGTTATAATCAAAGAAAAAATTCATGGCCAATGGTAAAGGATCTTTCAAATGAATCTGAAGAACAACTAATTTATTCACTAGTAATCCATTCTTATGATGCTGATGTAGCTGCTAAAAAAGTCCGGCATTTAAATGATACTAAACTTGTGAACTTTATTTCACTAAATCTTAAAAATACAAGAGATTATTTAAATGCAATAGATAAATTAATTAGGTTAGTTTTTTATTATTATTAAATTTTATAATTTAAGTATTAATTAAAATATTTTTATTATAAATTTAGAAAACTGGAAATGTAAGAGTATCTTCATAATTATATTATTCCTATACCCGCGGACTTTCCAGGTCAACTTTATATTCGTCGTGCTATTGTTAACAAATTAAATATGAAAGAACAATCAAATATACCACATGAAATCTTACATTTGGTTCCATTACTTGGACCATTACATGTTTCATTAAATACTCGTGAAACATGTTTACTTATTTTTCATCTGTTTTTTAATGCATTATACAAAAATGTATTTCAAAAGAAACATGATCTTGCAGCAAAACCAAAACCTTAGCGAGTCAATTTACTTCTTTATATTACACATGCAGGATGGTTACTTATTCGTTCTACTGTTCTTTTAAAATTTGGAAATTCAAAAAATATTAGCTTTCGTACTATTTTAGACTTATTAGATAATATTATACCAGCAACATTGGATATTTATGCAACACTTTTTCGAGGCAATCATCTTTCTCAATATATTGAAACTTTATTTCGATTTTGGACTATTATGAAACGTTTTCATAGAAAAAATTATGATAAAGCTATACTTGCATTTTTATCAGATTTTTCTTACTGGTATATACATCAGCATCCAATCTTAAAAATTTTTAATAATCATTTAAATTTGTTGGATGAATATCCTGTAGAAAATTTCCATTCTCGATTACGTCGTCATACTTTAGGAATTCCATCAACAACATCAGAAAAACTTCGTCAAGATGCAATTTTTATTGATGAAAATCGAAATAATACTTTTGGAACTAATTTTGCTAATACACGCAATTATCCTTATACTAAAAAAAAGATTAATTTTTTGGCAAAACAGACAGCAATATTTTTATTAAATTTTTTTTCTGAAATTTGGAGAAATGGTGGATATGTTGAAATCAAATATGATACAAAAAAAAAAGAATGTGTTTTATAAAACCATTTACTAAAGGATTTGTATTTGATATTCTTCCTTTAGGTTATCATTCAAAATCACGACCACGTAATGATAAATTTTGTGATTTGTGGAATTGTAATAATATTTTAGCAAATGATGGATTTGTTTTAAATTGTGGTCATGCATATCATATTCAATGTTTTGCAATTGCAGAATACAAATGCCATTATTGTTTTGAATATCTTTCTGAAGCAATTGAAGAACTTTCACAATCATATAATGAACGATTAAATCTTAATATTGAAGCGAATGATAATATTGAAGATGAAACAGATTTTACACAATCAAATGATATTGAATTAAATGAAGCTGAAGAAATACAAAATAATATAATAGTTGATACTTTATTACAACAAGCATTTTCAGGTAAAATAAATTTATTTATTTATTTATTAAAAAATTAAAATAATTTAATAATTTTTATTTATTTAATAGAATTTAACCAAATGACTACACAGTTTACTTCAACTTTATCAAATAATGGCTGATATTACAAATATTATATAGATATAAAATTCTTTGCTAATATAACAAAATTTAAATTGCTATTAATTTTAATAATAAAATTGCTTTTTTAAAATTGCTTAAATATTCGTCTTATTATATAAAAATTAACAATTTTGATTGGTTTATTTGTTGATGTCGATCAATCCATATTGGGAATGTTAACCATGCTACGCGTCTATGATTTTATTATAATACTCTCCACAAAAATTTTATCTTCTCAACTTTTTTCACCTCACATAAAATTA